GATTTCTGTAAGCAAGGCATTTTCGCACATCACATTGAAGCAACGTGTCTGATTTCAGCAGCAAGACGGGCCTCTTGACAGCTGTGCTCACTTCCCAGGCTGTCCGACCGACCCTGCCACCCGTCTCGCCGGGGCGAAAGACTCGGTGCGTGGGTGCGGTGCGTGGGCCAGCGGGTGAGGGAGGTGAGCCACACCGGACAGCCATGGGACAGGTGAGCAGTAGTGGAACTGCCACAGAAACAGTGGAACTGCACGTTGGGTTGGTGTTCACGTGGAGGGATCCATCAAGCCTGCTAGTCGCTCGTGGAAATTGGGGGCAGGCGATGCAGCGCTGCTCCTTCGCCCTGACGGCGCTCGATGTCCGCATGGCGCGGTGTTGAGCGTTGATGGGTGAGCGTGTCAGACCGAGTGTGGCGTGTGGAGTTGGTGGCCCAACCGAGACTTCACCACTTCACCAAGCGCGCCAAGCGCGCCAAGGGCTTTTGGGTGTCGCTATAAGTTTGTGAATTTCAGGGTCGCCCAACAACTTGGTGGGGGCTGATGCTGGTCTCAGTCTTATAGTGCCATTCAGGGTGAACAGGTTTAGCTGGGCATCCTTGGCAGTCGCACTCCGTGCTGGGCGGTCGAACCGACCGAACGCCGCTCGAACGCCTGCCCCTGGTCCCGAGCTGTGCAGGTGGAGCCTGTACAGAGCCTGGACCAGCTCAATGTTCCTGAGTGGTCCAGGGGCTCCGCGCTCGCCAAGGCAGGGATCAGCTGTGTGACATCAGCGTGTTCGTCACGTTGGTGGGGTCCATTCTCAACTCATCGGTGAGGGAGCTGAGCTCCGATTGGCTCCAACCACTTGGGTTTTGTGGGCTGAGGAAGTCCATGGAAGTCCGCTCAGGTGCCAGTGGTGAGGCTTTTTGGCATCTCCAGGCAAGGCGCAAGTGTGGGGAGACCCAGCGTCGTGAAAACTCGGGTGGTGAAGCTGGTGTCACACAAAGATCTAGACATTACGTTTCTTTAAATGACAATTAATTTTTAACAGCTTAAGCTTTATTAACCTTTGCACATATCATATGTTCCTTTTTTCCCGCGGCATAAGGTGTGACACTCCCCTAGTACAATGGGCATATTCTTGAACGTAACCATGTTTCATGCCCATCGAAGGCACCGCAGGTTTGGTTAACGTTGGCGTTGTGGTCTAGGCTAGCTTCCTCGCTGTGCAGTAATATGCCAAAAAACTCAAGCAAGGAAGGAAGGAAGGAAGGACGGAAGGGGAAGGAAGAGGAAGGAAGGGGAAGGACGGGGAAGGAAGAGGAAGGAGGAGGGAGGAGAAGGAAGGAAAAGGAAGGAGAAGGAAGGAGGGAAGGAGGGAAGGAGGAAAGTGAGGAAAGGACGGAAAAGACTGGCCTTGCTCTTTCCCCTGCATGTGTGACTCGGATGCTTCCGCTTTGGGTGCTGCTTCCGCTTTGGGTGCGGCATTGGCCTAAGATGGCTGGCCAGAGTGTGAACCACGACCGGCCCACGACGCTTCCTTCGGTGCGGCGTTCGGTACAGGAGTCGGAGCGTTTTTGCTCGGGCAACGCGCGGCGCCGAGGTTTGCGCTCACGTGCATGGATGCTGGCCCTTTTTCTACGCCGGGACGCCCCGGATGTGCGGATGTCCGTGACGTCCCGCACGTGGACGCACTGGGTGGACGGCTTTTTCTCAGTGACTAGCCCAGGGTAGCAGCTAGCCAGCTGCTCTCTACATACAGCACCCTGCAGGTGCCATACTTGATCCATCCATTTCCACATAACATCAACATCAACTTGGTGCCAGGTCGAGTTGTCGGAGGAAGCGGCTGGGAGCCGCAGAGAGCTGCGGATGGTAGGGATGGGGAAATGGGCCCTGCCCAGACATCAACCAGTTCGACGTTCCACATGCAGCAAGTGCCTGCTCTCGTTTCCAAGTTTGAGAGGTTGTGGTAGGGCATTAGCAGCTGAAAAGTGCATGTTGTTCAACAGCTCATGACATGTGCCACGCACGTGCATCATGCCATTTCACATCGGGCCCTCTACACACTGGTGTGTGGACGCAACAGCTCTTCAAGTTTCCGTTCCAAAGATTGATGCAATCAGATTCCAGTCCCTTCTGCTTGGTAGTTGCAGACCTCCATGCAATCTTGTGGCAGGGGTGCCACGGGTGCCACTCCTTTGCCGACAATTGTCCATCCAATCGATGAACCGTATGGATCAAAACACGTGAACGCCATAACGCCAGCCCATTCCCGGTTTTTGCTGGGTGCAGAAGTTTCGTGCAGTGCTCCATTGGAATTCAGTTGAGTATCTATCCATTGTTTCTTGGTTTCAGCAGATTCAGACGAGACCATTTGTGGATCTTGGGCTTGAAAGGGTGTGCCAAACCCTCAGTCCACTGAGCATGAAGACTATCTAGAATCTAGGTCCGACATCGCTCAGGCTGCCCGCCTCGGCTCCAAGAGCCACCTGGCTGCACCTCGGGGGCGGGAGGCTGCACCCCGCTGGACCGACTGCGGTCCGCCAGATGCGTCCTGGATCGACTGCGTCAATGGCAGTTGTCCAAAATGGGAGTTGGCAGGTTGAAAGGAGCAAAGGTTTTTCCATGTCCATCGTGCCTTTGCTTTTCTTTACTTCAATCCTCGGACCGGGAAGTCGTTCAAGCAGTCGAACGCTGTGGAGACTGTTCTCCAGAGATTTCGAGTTTTTGAAACACCAGACCGCCGTGTTGGTGAATCTTCAACAATTCTGGCACGAAGTACAAAGGGTTTATGACATGCTGGCATGAGCCTCTCTCGAGGCCACAGCTGTACAGAAGAATTGATGACGGAAGAGGCGACATGTCGCCATGGGTGTTCTCGTGGAGATTGTCCAACGGAAGCAAGAAGGTCGATGCTCTTTCAAAATACGTATGTTCATTCCTTTTAGACGGACCAACGGCTCCTCTTCTACCCATGTTAAATCAAGATCACGCCTGTGGCCGGGTGGCAGGTTGTCACGACTCATGACTGTAGCAATTCGACACTGCAGGTGAACACCTTGGATTTTTTTGAGATCTCAAGAATCCTCACATAAATTGAATGATTGATAAGATATCATACTACAAGATCGGTGGGGTTATAACTTTTGGTGACTGCTCCATTTTCTATCTCGCGTCGGTGTTTATTCCAGCTCTGCAAGTTCTTCACCCAGCAACTTGACCCCATTGTGCTGCAGCAACGGCAACCTTCGATCGTTTACTTATTTGGCTCACACCCTGGAAGAGACCCACATGAAACCTGAGAACCACTGGGCTGTGGAAGAAAATCGTCTTCCAAAGGTCCATGCCATCATCTTGCTGGGTGTATGCCCTGCTGAACTGGAATGCTTGGAATAAGGGTCGCCGGAACACTAAAGGACTCCGCCTGTTGACTGCTGACCCCCCACTGTTGGAGGAAGACATCCAGCCAAAGCTACGCCCAATGGCACATCTTTGCCGTTTGGCCCATGTCTTCCCGTGTCTGCTGTTTGGTGATGCCCATTTTCCTACGTTCGTAGCTTCTTGCAACTAGTGACAAGTGGCGATGGCCTCCAACCTACTTAGTAACTACTTGCGATGGCCACCTAATAGCAGCAGCATCCTCCACCTAATAGCGTCCTTGTTACGTTCGTAGCGAACCTTGTTCCGTTCGTAAGGCCAGGAGCTACGCACGTCGCGTCCGATCGCCCGTCCAGATCGCCCGGCCTCGAGAGCTCGCCGCTGCCATCGAAGATGCGGCGCAGCGGGCACGGCCGGTCCGGCCCCCGGTGTGGGCGGCCGTGTGGAAAGGCATTTTTCAAGTCATAGAATGTAAGAGGTCTAGATGGAAAGCGTCTATATAGTTGGAGTGTCTTTTTTTCTTCTCCCATTGATGGAGAGAAAGCGTCTTCTGAAGAATTGAATGTGGCAATTCGATGTAAGTCAAGAATCTGACTGACGCCAGATGCTCGAGACTTTAAAGAGCAGCGGCCGGCAGGTTTGGGGTCCTGATTCTTTCCCACTTGGCCTAAATACGGAGTGTTTTACCACTACTTTGACTTTCTGGCCATGCCGGCTGAACCCAACAGCTGCTTTGTATCCATTGGAGGTGTGTCTTCGCTCAAGTCTAGGGACGATTGGCCCCTCCTCCCCACCCAAACGCGCCGCTCGGTCCGACTACGCACCAGCGAAACCGACCACCGACGCACCGGCGCCGGCACGCAGCCGCTACGCAGTGCGCGCAGCGAGGCGAAGCCTGTGAAGGTTGTGAACTTAAGATTGGAAAGGTGGAGCGGTCCGGTGGTTGAAGCCTGGAAGGGAGAGCATCGGGGAGAGCAGCGGACCGATGGTGAGGGGTGCAAGTTCTGACGGCCTGACTCCAAAACATGGACCCGTCCGCCCTTCCAGATCTGGAGAAGCAATGCAGCTGTTGGAATTCTTGAGCCTACTCTAATAGTACGGCAATTACTATTTAGTGTAAGTGTACAGTTCAAGAGGCTTGGCGAGTTTGTCTTACGACGCGACAACCGTGAAAAGGGTTGTGAAGGCCCTGTGAGAAGGGCTTGCAGGCTTGTCAGTGAGATTAGTGAGCGAACTGCATTTGGGGCTCTAGGCATGCATTTGCTGCGGCTCTGTGATTTTTGAATGGGGTGTCTCTTGTGAAAAGCTTCGGCAAGCCAGGTGGGTGACCGAGGTGTAATGCACTTGAAAGATCTTGAAGTGAACTACGTCCATCCATATCCTTTGATCTAGTCACTCTGGTCCTTCCTTGTTTTGATATATATATAGTTTGATCTAGTGTGTGTGTGTGTATATATATATATATATCCTTTAATACATATATATATATATATATATCAAGTTTGATCTAAAGTCCTTTCCCTCTTTTCGGTGCTCCCACGGTCCATGCACCCAGATCGCGCCAGGTGGCGCTCCATCTACGGCTTGCGGATCACCCCATCACCCTTTTTGCGCGTGGAGCTGACGGATGCCCGAGATGTCGCCCGGCTGCGAAGGCTGAAGGTGGCAGCAGGGGCTGGAAGGGCTGGCTGCAGGAGCATGCTGCTGCGGTTGATGCCTACGGAAGAGGGAAGCAGAGGCCACTGCAGAGGCCCAAATCTTTCGTAAGAGCATGTGAGAGCCGTGTTGGTGGTGCCCAGTGGTGCCCGAAGCTGAGCAGATGAGACCAAACTGATGGAAGAAGGGTCAGGCCCAAGTGTTGCCAGCCTGGTTCTGATGGTGTCAATCTCGCTCGACTCGTGGATCTCTGAGCATCTCGGCTCCATCGAAAGCTCCTCCAAAGCTCAGCTCCTGCAAAGCTCGGCCATGGCCCGCTCCTCGACTTTGGCTGTGATCCTTCTTGGTGCTGCCCTTCTCCAGGCTGGAACGGTTGGAGTGTTCATGATGCTTCTTTCCTAGTTAAATTCCAAGGTTAGTTTGGGGGGTGCCGGCTTGGGTGGTTGCAGATGACATGGTGCGAGTAGTTCACAAGCTGCCCTTCAGACTTCTTGCTATCGCCAATAGCTTGCACAAACAACATCCTTTATCATCCTTTATGCTTTACTGTAAGGGCTTGCTAGCTGCTTGTCCACTCAATTTTGGCAACTGACCATTGCTTGATTCATCTTGATTCTATTCTGGGAACTGCAGTTCATTGAAGAAACACCCACACTGCAGTTCATTGAAGAACCATCCAAACTTGCAAAACGAGAGGTTTGGACAATGGCCTCCCAATCAGGTCGACCAAATTCAGGTATGGCGCTCACGCCCTCGCTCAACGGAAGGACTCATGAGACGCACAATTCCAAATCGCAACCACAAGGAAGCAGAACCATAATCTTCCAAATCTACCGCAAATGGATGGCTCTGTTCGTTTGCGGGAGCAGATCAGTTGAGCCAGGTCGCACTCCAACCCCGCCATGTCTCCTCCTGGCTTTCACAGCCCCAGGCGCTGACCTTCGTCGGCCCAGCCTCGCCTGCGCTGCGCGCGGGGCGGGCGGGGCGCGCGTCGCTGCTGGTGCGTCGTGCGGCCTCGGACGAGACGATGGGCAAGGTGGCTGAGGTGCGGTGTGGCTGAGGAGACGAAGAGGGAGGAAGGAGGTAGAAGTTGAACATGGAAAAGGAAGAGGGAGGAAGGGACAAGGAAGGGATAAGGAAGAAGGGAGGTGACAATCGGTGGCAGCATTGGTGTTTGATGACCCTTTTCTACAATGTTTTGTCATGCTGTGTGGCCGTATAACATACACCCCATACTGAGCTTCTTCTTGAAGTTCTGACAAGGAAAGGAGTCATGACCACCGGCTTGTTTCTCCTGGTGGAGCCGTTTGGTGAGGGTCAGAGTGTCCTGCTTAAGAGAGAGAAAGAGAGAGAGAGAGAGAGACAGAGAGAGAGAGAGAGAGAGAAGAACAGAAGCACAAACATGTGCACATCGGATCCAGCTGACGCTCACGTTCACAGTTGTCCCTCCAGGTGATTGCCGAACAGTTGGGAGTGGACAAGGACGGGCGCAGTCAGTCTAAGCATCTTCCAAGCATGGTCTTTAACCATTGATTTACCTTGTCTTGACACTAGGAGCAAGAACGCTACGAACTGGGCTTTTGCATGAAGCTTCCATTTCACACGCACCTCCGGTGGCCCAGTCCGGGTCACTTCCGGTGTCCGGTCCGGACGGTGAGGAGAAGGTCACCCGGGAGGCCACGCTGACGGAGTTGGGCGCGGATTCCTTGGACATTGTGGAGTCCGTCATGGCCTTGGAGGAGGTCGGACCGGACCGGGCGTGGACCTCGTTTTGCTTTCGATCCCTTTTTTTTGGGTGTGTGTGGCGCAGTGTTACACTCTGTGTCTCTCTCTCTCTCTCATGATATGGCGAAAGTTAAGACAGAGAAAGCATGGAGTGAACACAAATGGATTCCGCAATATCCTTGGTGTATTTATATAATTTGAGCTTTTAGAATTCAGAAAAGACCGTCAGCTCGAAACACCATGCTTTTGATTTGCACCCTGGCCCTGACACAAAGAGTAGTCTAGCCAACTCGTGCCTGTCCCTGGGTTTTGAAGCAAGAACCCAAGAATTATGAACTTATGAGTATTCCATCTATGTTCATCTTCCGAACTGTGCCCTTTGAGATGTCCCCAGTCCTTCCGAAGCGGCGGATCCAACCCGTCGCCAGGCCTTTGACATTGAGCTGCCCGATGAGGAGACCACGCCTTTGAAGAACTGCGGCGATGTCATGGAGTCCCGGGTGATGGAAATGGGGTCAAGGATGAGTCAAGGGGTTCCTTGTTTAGGGATGTTTAGGGGGGCCACCGAGGGCTGGGTCAAGGGTTGAGGAGGATGACTAGGGCTGATAGGTAACAAATAGAAAAGAACACATATTGGTTCCGTTTTTGCCCTTGGTCTCCGGCCTTTAGGGGAAGTTGCCGTTGGGCGTCTCTGTGAGACGACGGAGAGAGAGAGAGAGAGAGAGAGACAGAAAGAAAGGAAGAAAGAAAGAATGACCGAACGAACGAAAGAAAGAAAGAAAGAACGAAAGAACGAACGAACGAACGAACGAACGAAAGAAAGAAAGAAAGAAAGAGAGAGAGAGAGAGAGAGAGAGAAAAAGAGAAGAAACGACAAATGAAAGAAACAGAGAAAGAAAGAGCGACCGTGCTCTGCCTTCACCAGGGTCCAAGCTTGTTGACCTCTGACTCAGGATCTGATCCAGAGCAAGCTATGATTGGCATTATGATCAAATTCGTTGAGTTTTGGAGCTGAGACCACCAGTTCCTCCACACGACCATGGCTCCGTTGGCTTTAAATCCATGCGGTGCTGATGGTCGTGGTGCAAAAAGCCAAGCACTAGTTGCAGGAAGGCAGTCTGGAGGTCTGCTATTGGCTTTTCTTTTCCTGGGTGAGTTCATCTTGCCCCTCTTGGCTTCAGTCAAAGTGGCGTCAGTCCTTGCACGGTCGGAAGGAACCTCGGGGGCGTGCTTCTCCCCATGGGTCGGTCGGAGGATCGGGTCTGGACGCCCCTGGGACTGGAAACGTGAAACGAAAGGGGCTGGTTTGGGACATGACCAGTCAGGACATGTCAGACCTTCTGGACTTCTTGGTTCGGACCTCCGGGATTCTTCAGCGTCGGACGGTGCTCAGGTCGAGATGGTGGCGGGGCTTCTCCAGAGCAATGAGGTGGGGTGGGTCGGCTTCTCGTGGTGACGCTGAGGCGCTGGTCGGCGCTGGTCACTGGACGGTCGTCCGCCTTTAACGGTCTGAACGGTCTTGTCGTGCCCTGGGGCAGGTCGAAGCGATTGGGTTTGCACAGGCCGGGTGGACTTGGAGGGGGGCGAACTGGTGTGGGTTTTGCCATTGATGATCCTGGTTTATCCAATCCAACCAAAGGGTGTCCGAGGGAGGGGGACAGAGGCTTTAAGCAGATGCCGACATGTGATTTGTCAAAACCTAGGTTAAGTGGTATATATATATATATCTATCTTCCAACTTCCAGCACCCAAGCAATATGGTGCATCAAAAAACCTTGTCACCTTGTCACCACTTTTTGGGGAAGGTCTTCGAACCCATCGGAAAAATCAAAGGGAGACCGCAGGAAGCAAGCTTGAGGAGAATGGCATCCACTTCCACAATAGCCATGCTAGGGCACTGTAGGGGTCAGTGACTCTTAAAACGGGACAATCATCAAGCATCGATGGTTGCATCATCGATACGTCATTTACATGTTGGGGGCATCAATGACAACCACAAATGCATCCGGTATGCATCCGGTATGCCGGTATGCCGGTATGCCGTTGACCCATGGGACCATGAGAGGGGGATTGCCACCCACCAGCAACCTCTTGAACTGGCAAGAACTGTAGCGGTTCTGAAAGCAGACCCTTTCAGACCACGGATGTGATCCGGCAGCCGTCATGGGTTTTCTGGACGGGTTCAGTCCGCCCGCTGCCATTCCTTTGGGGTAGCTCTAGATAGGACACACACACACACATATAGATAGATAGATAGATAGATGGATATTATATATATAAGGTCGGGATGCTTTCGAGATGCCAGAGGTGCCCTATGAATCTCTTTGTCCGAACTTCTCGGGATTTTGACCATGCCATGCTCAAGAGGCTGTGCAAAGCACCTCTCGCCTACCTAAATGCCATGCCATTCTGAACATGATCCAGTATAAAGATATCTGTCTAAACAATGTATTATATGGCATGACCTGAATGAAAAACACCAGCGTTTGTGAAAACACCTATGATGATAAGATGTTCCTAGCTTCAAGCTAGGTGATCCGGCAAAAGCCAGTCGTTTTCTGAGCTTTGATTGTGATCATGCCGCTGCTGTGGTTTATGGTCCGACGGCGGCGGCAGCTTGCAAGACTGAGAGTGTTGACATTGTGGCTGAAGAGAAGGCGCAGGTCGAAGCTGAACCAGAAAACACATAATTTTTTGTACCTTTGGCTCTTGTTCTGTTGAGGTGATGTAGGTGTATTGCAGTATACTATGGTATTCTTTTTTCCTTTGACATGCTCGCCTGTTCCTGCTCTGAACGGAGCTGTGTACATGAATGACTTGTAACTTGTAGACTAAACACCCTTGCATGTCCTTCGCAATCCATCGGGACCTGTTGCATGACGATATATTTCACTCACTTGGCCTATGAATGGGAAGACGCCAGATTCCATTGTACATTCTCTCAGCAGACAAGCCAGTATTGGCCAAACGTGAGAAACAAAGCACTTGCACGCCTTGTCATTTGCACGGGGGGCGGGCGGCGCTGAGGAAATGCTCATGTTCAATTGGCCGATCAAGATGTTCCAGCCAGCGAGAGGATGCTGGTTCATTCCACGGGGGGCCTGGATTAAAGGAGATCCCTGAAGACGCTGCCGTGGACACGGCTCAGAGTTTGAGTTTAGCATGGAAGATTTGCGAGAATCATGCGCCCAAGTTTGCGCTGGACCGTGGCGACCCGAGTGGTAAGAGATTCAACGAAAGCTCTTTGGGGCCCGAAGTGCCTGCAGAGCTTGAGCAGTTGGAAGTGGCTGCGGAGCTTGAGCAGTTGGAAGTGGCTGCAGAGCTTGAGCAGTTGGAAGTGGCGGCAGAGCGTGAGCAGTTGGAGAATCCAGCTCCCAAAGTGGCAACAACTGCTGAACAGCCAAGAGCAGTTTCAGCACTTCCTGATGAACTTTTCAAAAGGTCTGAATCACCAGATGCCCCGCTGCAGCCGGCCCGACCTATACTCGCACCAGAACCAAAACCACTTCCAGCTCCACCGGTTGCAGCGGCACGACCTATACCTCCACCTCCCCCTTCACTTCCAGCAATGCCACTTGAACCAGCTAGGGCAGGGGAAAAGGTCTCATTGTTTCAGGCGCCGGGTCAAAGATCATGTTTGTTACCTACCAGACCTACTAGGTTGCCGAAGGCCTTTACTGCTTGCCAGCCGCCGACCTTCTCAGTCCCGCGGAGAATGCAATTGGCACGTGAGGCAGCTGAAGGATGCGATCGATCAACTTTGAACATGAAGTGCTGTTATATCCTTGATGCGATGAACATCATGAAGCATCGAAACCAGGGTGAACAGAATGATGGAAGGCTTAGATGGACACAACTGCACGCTGCTGCATCACACTACAGAAGGAACATGCATGACGTCTTGATTTTTCTGCCATGTCTGCCTGAGAAGGAAGTCAATGAATACAGGCAAGAGATTAAAATGCTTGGGGATTGTATCGTCACAACACCTGCACATGTCAGTGATGATCTTTTCATGATCCGTTACGCCGAGATGATGCATGAACAACGGCGCGAAGCGCGCATAGTTTCCAACGATCTCTTCAGACAATACATCATGAGCAGCAGTTGGCGTGACACTTACCTCACCAGCATCAGAGTGAGATATGCTTTTGCAGCTGGCACGTTCATGCCACAGGATGATTTGTAGCAGCTCTTGGGCACAATGGGTCATAGTGCAGAGTGTCTTCTTACAAGGCGACGCTCTGATGGGGACCAGCTGAAAGAACTCTGACAGGACCTCCAGGTTTGATCAACACTTCTTTTTTTCTCTTGATTGTCAGTGTACAGACGCTTTGTCGGCAGACGTTTTCCACATAGGATACGGTGGACCTGGTGACCACATGCCTGTCACGACTGGTCGTGCCAGCGTTACTTTCGACTCATTCACGTGCTAACTTGAGGTTCCGAAGCCTTGGTTTTCAATTGGCAGCGGAGATTCCGGTTGATCCCAAGGGATTCGTCCGGAGCACCGTCCTTCTTCTCCTTTGCCGCACTCGGCGCCTCGTTGGCCCCACTTCCGATCGTCGCCTGGTTGGTTGAGAAACCAATGAGTCACATGGCTTGAGCCAAGGGGTCTGGCGCACCGAAGCGGACCTCGCGGTCTGTCCCACCGCGCGGTCTGTGCCGGAGGCCCACGAAGCTCACTTGCCTTTCCTCTTGCATTTCCTGGCCGAGCACCTCGTGCCGGTGAGTTGGGTGAGGAGTTGGGGGGGGGTGCAGCTGAGGAGGTGCAGCTGAGGAGTTGGGATAGGTGTTGGAAGATTTCTTGCAAGTGGCATGAGTTAGGATTTCCCAAGAGCTCCAAGAACTCGGCTGGCTGCGCTGAATTTTAGTGTTATCAAGAGCTTGGAGTGGGTCATAGTGACCTTAGAAACTCAAGGAAGCCACCACCGTTGACGGGGCATCACACCCATTCCGAAGGGGAAGCAAGAAGCAGGGGAGGGCAACAACAACCTTGACTGTAGAAACTGGCCTCAGTAGTGACCAGGCCAGTGGTTGTGTTGCATGCTAAATGAATTAAATGTTTTTGACATCCACCCACTTCACAGTTTGCATGTTTGCAATGTTTCCCCCGCGAGAGTTTTATCGACTGTTTGCATTCACAGTTCATTCAGGAGAAAGCAGGACCGATGAGGTAGGGGTTTTCAACATCAATGTGGTACAGCTTCACCCGACTCTTGAACCACCAGGTGACATGAGCCAGAAGCAGGTTCGAACACCATGCTGTTGAATGTGGTTCACACATGTTCTGGTCCGTTCACCTTTCATGGGACCCGTTTGGCCGGAATTTGGGGTCATTGTGACTGTTACTGCATTCATCCAATCATCCAACTGTTGCCTCATTTAGGTTGGAGGCCATCGGCATAAGGATTTGTCCATTTTCCTGACCCAGACACAACCCATGGGACTGGCATAGGACTACCGATCAGGCCAGGGGTGCTTATGCCAGTCCCATGGGTCGTGTCTGGGTTTATAAGGGTTCATGCTTGGGGTCAGGTGCACCTTTCGCCTTTTGGGACCACGGGGAGCGGATTTGCTGGAGGGCATGTGGAGTGGGGCCAAGTCTTCCAGAGGAAAAGGATCCTTCCAGAGGCCATGCCATCCACTTCCATGGGCCTTGCTTCGGGGAGATGACCTATGGCCCCATTGGCCGGGAGATTTCTGCCAAGCCCTGATCAAGGCGAGACCAAAGCCACCAACCAGCCAGTAACTATGTCATTGAGACCAGCCACGTCGGTCGGAACATGTCAGAAGCACCTTCAGAAAAGGCATGTCCCCATATGCCACATCAACAACTCTCCTCCGAACAGTGGACAGATTTCATCTCTAGGGGGGGTGCTGTAGGCCCTTTTGGAGTTTGGGGGAGTCGGCGGTTCCCTTCGGCCCAGGCACCATCTGTCAGGTGCTGGGCTTTGTCGCGTGAGCGGCACAGAGCGGGCAAGCCGCCTGAGCCGTTGCGCACTTGAGCCACTTGGAGATGAACTTGAGACAGAGGGAGTGTCATGATTGCCAACACGAAATCCATCGTCATTTACCGTTTCGTGGCAAATCAGACGCGTTGTCATTCTACAAGAGGCAATCCAAAGCATGTGTGTTGACTGCCATGTTCTCGAGCCTCACCCCCAGGCCGATACCAAGGGCCAAGACAAGACCAGGGGCCTTACCCCCCCCCAGCAAACTAACATGGAACCTGAGAATTGACCGGTGGAAGACCCTACCCGCAAGCCCAGTGGTTTTGGGATTCCATGTGGACCTCTGGCATCGGGGCCTTTGCTTTGCAGAGGCCACCCCTTGGGACGGTTTCACACCGCCACATCGCCACACCGCCAGCGCCACTCTTTCAGGCTGGATGTGGTGGCGTGCGGGCCCCCGGGGTCGCATGCATGGGGCGGCCACGCAGGGAGGGACCACGCGGTGCGGTCTCGGAAGGACACCAATCCCACGCCGATGGTTGGGTTTGGCCAATCCCGCAAGAGTGGAAACGAACAATGACCAGCTTTTCTAGTCAAGGCGGCTTTTCTACATCATAGCCCATCAGAACCCACGGCTGCCTGCACACGTCAACCCCACACTCCCCCTACTGGACTGAAAAGCCTCAGGCACGCGGATGCCCTCATTTCTTGCACGCCCCCTACCTCGAATTGAAACTCTTACCTAAAGGTCAGCAGCATCACCCAAAGGCCACCCAAACGGTCACCGCACCCAAACCTCTAGCTGCCCGCTTGCCGACCGACCTCGCCACGTGCGTTGGACCGACCCTTCGTCCCAAGGCCGGAGGGCCTCGTCAACTCGCTGGAGCCCTCCGTCGACGCGTTTAGCGGGGTCGGAAAGCGCAAAAGCGCCCGAAGCCGTCGAGGAGGGTCGGTGGTAGAGGGTGGATCACCCCAAGGGGCGCGAAAAGAAGGATGAAAAGGGCACCGAAAGATGGAATCTTCCAAGTGATGGAGGAGATGTTGTTTTCTTCCTGATTTCTTCTGATACTTTTGAGGAAGATGGAAGGGTTCGAGGATGCTTTCGCTATCTGGAAGGTCACTGAAACATCCGGTTCAAATCCCTCTTCCATGGTTTTTCCAACTGGTTTGGACCTTGGACCTTGGAGTCCTCGAGTCCCCCGCACGTGTCGGCCAGATATCGGGAGCTGCTTCGTAGAGCAGGACAGGGCCTGGTGCCACAGGAGATGGACCGAAGTGGAGGGTGGGGGGCGGTGGGGCGATTCCAGCCATGTGTTATTTATTTTTCACATTTGGGGATGTGTTTTCTTGAAGTTATGTTCTTTATGTTGTTAATTTTTGTTATTTTGCGTTTCGGGGGCTCTGACTCATGGCATGGCACAGCATCTCCATCGATCTCCGTACTCGGGCGAAGCAATCAGAGCTGGAGTCAGAGTCTCATGCGCGCAGATGTGCGAAAAGCACGGTGCAGTGAAGGTACATGGTGCAAGTTGCACCTGCTATACTTACTCTCATCAGTGTATGGTAAGACCCACTTGCCATCACCTGCCTTATATATGTGCGACGTTGTGGGCCTCCAGCCGCAGGTAGCGAGGCTCGAGCACTCAGCGCACTGCGTTCCCAACTGGGCCATGGCCCTGGTATCTCGAGAGTGTGATGTGACCCCATACCGTGCATGTCTTTCCCCTTCATTGGGATTGCTTGAGATATTTTGTGGTCTTTAAACTGAGAGTGTGAATCCGTTGGTCTTGGCCCTGCGAGCATTAGCTTAGTTTCACATTGAAACGTTCCAACCTCCGAGCTGGTCTTTCCTCACAGCGACCACCTTCAAAGGCCGGTGTGCAATCCACTGCTATGTGCAAGCTTCAGTTTTGAAAACCTTTACCGTGGGTTCACGTACTGTAGATGTCCCACTTGGCCGTCGGCATGTGTTTCGGCCATAGGCCATAGGCTGAGGAACCTCTTGGGTTTACGGTTTGCATCTCTCTCTTTCGCTCTCTCTCCCTGGAGTGTCCGACAGGTCTTTCTTGTAGCACAGACCGCGAGCTAGAGCCATTCCCGTGTTTTCAGATGATCCCTGCAATGACGAGTGGGAGTTCCTCCCTGTCCTCGCGTTCTTCTTCCCTACAAGGTGTCGCTTGCTGCCATATGTTCCGCTCTTGAGCAGCATTACCTATTTACCCCATTGCACGGACTGTCGCCCGGCAGCTCGTCGCATCTCGTCGCATCTCGCATTGACCGCCCGGAGCCCATCGCAGCCAACTCGTCCTCTTGGGGAAGGTGGAGGAAAGCCTTGCAACATGGAGGTAGGTAGGAGTGAAGGACTTCGTGAATTCCTGATCGAAGCCGTGCTCCAAAAACCCGCGAAAGGGGACACCAATGGGCTTTCCAGACCAGATTCCTCAAGATGCGACAAACTCACGTGCAGATTCCAGTTGTAGACCAGCTCGACTTTTTTGCGGAGCTGCGAAGGAAAGCCCCGCAACGCACATTCCGCTAAGGTCGGCAATACAATCAACTGCCAAGCCCTTCCGCTGGACACGTGAGCGTGTCGCGGCCGGGCGCCGCCGCCAGGCGTGATGCTGAGCACTTTCGGGCAAACATCCCAAAGCAGGGAAAAAGACCAATCATTGCAGGACCCTTATTTCCAACGGATTTCCGAGGGCCAAGTCCGAGTTGGCGGAAATCCTTCCCCAAAGTGGGGAAGACAAACCCAGGCACTTTTTTCGGCCAACGTTTGTGCCCCTGACTGGCAGGGACGCCTTTTCTCACCTCTGTGACTGCTCAGGACGCCGGCCGCCGTCCGCCATGCCCTGCACCGATGGCTGCGCGGCGGAGCGGCGCCCGTGCACGAGGCGTGGAGCCGACCGTGCGGGAGCGCGTCCGTGGGTGGGGTTCGTGGGGGAAGTGGGAGCGCGCTTTTTTTTGGTTTTTGAGTCGGAGTGGCGACCGGCTCAAAGGATTGACATGACTCTAACTGGAACTTGCTTCGCAGTCTCAGTTGGAGGCAAGACTGGAAATCCCGTCATCTTCCGGCTTAATTTCTGGACGTGAACACCTGTATTTTGGTGGTGGGGGTTGTGAAAATAGCTGTTTTAAGTTTTGGTCGATGTGGAGGGCTTGGGAAACCGACGATGGGAGGTGTGCGTCTTACCGATGTTATTGCTACCTCAGGTGGTGGATTTCATTGACATCAAAGTCGATGCAGCAAGAGAAGCTCCACATGTTGGTGGGTGAAACTCTTCCCCACATGACCTTCACAAGCAGATTGGCGTGGGAGGTCTAAGAGCATGAAGTGTAGAATCCTGGCCGTGGCGGTCAGGATTGGGTCCAGATTGTCCATGCAACTTTGCTCTTGATAGGGGCTACTCGTGAGACGCTAAGTTGGTCAGTTTTCTTTTCTACCCTCAAGACTTGAATTACAAGAAGCCTATTTTTTAAGCCTATTTAGATGCCTCGCAGCATCTCGCAGCTAACCGTGGATGAGAAAGCAAGAGCTCAAGGTTCAAGTTGCAGGCATTCCGAATTCCATTTTCTTCTCCACAAGCATGGCTGGGCATGTGGGTTCCCGATTGTACCGTGCCCAGTAGTGGTTCGAACAATATGTACGTATCACACACACTTAGATTGATGCTCGCAAGAGCTAAATCAGTTAGTGAAGTTCCACTTTACACGCATTAGCCCTTGACTTGATAGAACCGAAGGATGCTGGAACGGAATGGCGGCTGAGTCAGTTGACTTGAAGATGTTTCAACATTGTGTTTTAATGGCAACCGATGTTAAACAGTTAGTGCAGGTACATTTTCACCTCCCTGGCGCGCGGTCTTCGTTGGCCAGGACGCGCGCCAGGGAGTCCTGGCCCCCTGCATTGACGTTCTTTAAAAATGAGGTCGGTCTGAATTATCGTGCATTGTTCGTGTCCTTCGAAACAGGAAATGACACACACACACACACACGAGTACACGCACGCACATACAGAGTGCAAGTCTATGTGTATCAGATACACGCACAGGCTTTTCATGTACGATACTTCCCTCAAAAGTCTGGACTCAGTCTTCCCAATCTTTTTTCCCTTTTCAAGCGTATGTGAGGGTACAGATCGAACTTGGGATTGCTCGGTGCTCAAGTCGTGTTCCTTTCTGGGCGTCCATCAGAGCCCATTGAAGCAGATCCGGTTTCTCGCTTTGGCGGCTGCCGGGTGGAAACGATCCCGTCTGATAGGTTTCGCCGAGCCCTTTTGAGGCCTCCGAGGCCTTCACGGAGATGGCCATGGAGATGGCGAACGCCTGGAAAATTGCACAGGAGAAGGTGCAGGCGCCTGAAGTTTTGTGGGGTTTGATGGGTAGGCGTGGTGAGACGGGTTTGGGGAACAAGGCATTTTCCTTGTCTCGCTTCTGGTTGATCATGGTTGGTCGTTAAAATATGTTGGTAGTTAAGCATTTCAATTTACATTGAACAACTAGGTGGTGAAAATTTTCCAAGCCAGCCAAAAGGCGAAGCCGGTGAAGCAACATGCGCTCCGAAAAGGCACTTAACTGTTCGTGCTCCCTTGGGGTGTCCACTTGCCAAAATCATTTCCACGGATTTCCAGAAGCACAGCTACCGATCCCGTCTTGCCACGGTCGGTTGGTAGTGACGGCACAGGGCCTCATGCCCTTTTGCTGGGCTTGACTCGTTGCTGTTCTTTTGTGTGCTTTTCCAGGTGCCAGATGTCCTTTTAAATTTGCATTTCCTGACCATTGAATTACACTTTGAGTCTTCAGACTTCAGAACTAAGGCTGTAGCATACATCAACAGTTCAGTTTATCAGTCGAAGAAAAGGGAGAACCGGAGAAATAACATGAAATAACAGGACATGCTGGCCGGATGTCACCCCACCAAGCCAAGGGATGTATACCAGGAACCCGTTCTTAATCTGAAACAGTGGATTCACCGCCGAGCCGTCGCCCCGGTTTGATGCGGCCTGTTTTCGCTCGACCTTGGGCGACAGGACATTGAAGACTTGGCAGGGAAAGCCGGTGGGGGTTGACCCAGCGGGCGGCGCGCCCTTGGAGGGGCGGTGCTTGGACGATGGGACGAGGTCTCCAAACTCTCTACCCACTGGCCATGAAAAAGGCGGGAGGTGCAAGCAGAGCCATTGGGGTTGTGATGTTGTGTTGGTTGATTGATCGGCAATATGTTGATTCTCCGTTTCAGGATGAACAGTCTGAACCAGGTCGAACCACTGCAGCTGACTGAGCACCGAGCAAACCGGAGATCTTCCTGTACAACTGCGGCCCAGCGAGATGGGTTGGAGCTGCCGGGTGCATCCTAAGAGGAACACTCCGGTGCCCGTGACCTACTCTGCTCGGACCGTCCTCGCCGGGGTCCCGCGTTCCCCCCAGGCCGACGGCGGCGGCGACCCGCCTCGCCGGCCAGGCGGAGGGGCAGGGGATTCGCTCGGTGGTGCTTGGTGTCGCTCGGTGGGTCGGTGTTTTTTTAGCTTTTTTTTGGCGAAAAAGGGGTCGAAGTGGGTGGTTTCGACCGACCATCTTCGTGGTTCCGGCGACCGGAGTGCTGGAGGAAAGGGTGTTTGGTTCGTGGTGCGTTGGTTCGTGGTTCGCCGAGCCTCAGGCGCACACTGCTGGCTGAAACAGTTTCTGCCCACCGGATGGCGTTTGTGTCTACCAGGTACTCCAATCCTGCAGACGACCCTCGCAGCAAGGACCACTCGCAGGAAGCTGAGATGGAGATAGATCGAGGGAGGAGTTTGGAGAGGATGTGGGTGAAAAAGTATCATATGATGACTCCTGGGCTCCGGCCGAATCCGATCAACTGGCTGGTCATCCGGGGTCCCTGGCCAACATTGCCTTCTGCCAAGTTGACCTTGTGTTAGTGGGTGGCATGCTCTCTCCAGTTGGGGGGGAGCGTGTTTGCGTTTGATGTCCCTCCACGTCTGCGAATCTGCCAGTTTTGACTTTGGCCGATTTCCGACCCCGTAGACACGTTGGGCTCGGGGCGCTGAACTGGGCTGGGGCACTGGCCGCAGTGCGCGGGCAGTGCAGGCCTGGCTTTGTCACTTGGAGAGGAATTGGGAGGAACATGACACGGGGGTCCTCTTGGTTTGTGGCCATGGGACTCCAGCATTTCAATCGCAGGAAGTGACACGGTTCAGGCATTTCGGTATTAATTATATAATATAATATATTAGTATTTTCATATGCTATCCAGATTCTGCCAAACTACTGTAGAGCACCCAGAGGCTGACTACCGCATTGAGAGGGCTTTTAAACATGGTTTTGACTGCCGTTGGCCTAGCGGCCGCCCCTTGCAATCACCTCCCTGATCCAGCTCCTTTGGGAAGCACCTTCCCCATAAACCATCGACTATGCTCCATCTGAAGGGCTACAGCGAAGAAATCAGATTTGGTGAGGTTTCAAGAACATTATGTCCAACCTTCACTTGAGATTCGTCTGGATGATGAATCCCGATGATATATTCTGATATATCTGATATATAATCTCTCTATATTGACATGACTGTAGGTACTATTGAAGTAGAGATGTTGTTTTTCTGATTGAATGCAGCATGCTCATTCCAAAAGTTCTTCCACTTTCCCAAAACACATTCACCGCGGTCCCGGAAGTGACCCAAAATCTGATCGGAGCGATCCGATCCGGGGAATGGACCCAAATCGATCGAAACATATTGCTTGAGCCCCGAGGGAGGTTTGACTCAAGCACTACCTCACCGTCAGGAGGTGTCCTGACGGCTGCCCTCCCAAGGCGAAGCTTCGCAGAATGACTCCCGCAGCACAATACGCGGCGTTTTTTGGCACTGATGCTGAAAAAGCATGTGATGCGCTGGTGTCTGACTTGCTGAAGGCTCGCCATGCGTGTGATGTGACATAAGACATGCATCGCATTCGTATACTACATATGTATTTACAGTATATAATTTATTTACTTACAGAGGTGAGATGAGTTCAACAGAATCCGCCTTTCCTCCTCCCCCGAGGACGAGGACGACGCGGGGGAGACCGACGTGCCCGAGGAGCGCAGCGGTGAGGTGACGTTGAACGAGTCGGAGGAGGAGCCGCGAGTCCCGCGAGTCAGCGGCGTCGCCGGCGGAGAGTCTTCCCGGGCGAAGGATGTGGTAGAAAGCGGGGGCTTTTTGGGGGCCTTCGTAGTAGAATCTTGATGAATTGCGCCCCCCTCAATATGAAGAGGTCGTTCAAGCAAGCCATGTCTGGTATGAATCAAGATCCTAGGTCCCAGATTCATTAAGGGGCTGTTGTACGTGTACATCTTCAAAGCTTTTCAGGGCCAGGCTTCCCATGCACAAACGAAAAAGACACCCTGTTCCTGCGGTACTTGGGATTTGCGGACTGAGCTCCGTGTTCTGTGTGGACCATTGCGGACTCATTGGTGGCAAGACCAGGCTCCCGCATGGACCAGCCGCTAGCCCAAAGCGCCACATGCATGCAGGGAAATAAGTACGTGCCCCGAGTCGCTGAGCGAGAAAACAGGCTTCCACAGGTGAATCTCGGGAGAGCATCAGCCTTTGAGCCGGAAAACCACCAACCTTCGACCGCCAGACACAGAGATGCCATGCCAAGTTCTTGCGACAGCCCCGCCATCTTCACTTCGGTGAGACGTCTGGATTCTTTCGGTGCATTTATGCCTGCCTGGGCCGAAAAACCCCACCAATAGATGTCCCCAGGAGATCCGCGCGATCCAACATACACAACTGGTGCCGTCCCCGCGCTGTTCGTTCTCTCCACCGACTCGGGGACGTTCGCAGGAGCGGCGCTCGCCCAGTGGACCGCCAGGCGCGGCAGTTGGAACACTAGAGGGGAAAGGCGCTGGTTGGCCGCAGGGTGCGCGGCTGGAACAGCTACTTTACTCGGTGTCGGATGTGGGGGGGCTGCTAGCATTGGCAAAAAGAACCCCAAACGCAAGTACATCACTGTGACTGTGACTGTAAAGGAGTCATGGACGTCACGGTTCATTTCATGCAGATTTTTGATGATTCCTGTTCCTGATTGTAGGGAAACAGGATATGTCATATGCACATCAGACATGTCACTGAGCAGTGTGGGAGCCCATCCGCCATTCCCAAGATTTCATGAATCCAGTCTTGACACCGCGCCCGGCGGGTTTTTGGCCAAGGTACCCCAAAGTAGGCTTCCAGAAGAACCACAACTCGCCAGAACGGGGGATCCCACCAAAGATTCAAGGACCTGATCAGCACCTTTCTAGGGGCTCCGGGCCTCACGACTAGGAGCGTTCGGACGCGACCGCTACGAATTAGGGGCTCTGGGGCATCGCTACGAAGGGGTTTGGCCCAATGGGTGGGTGGCACCCCCAACGGTCTGGCACCCTCACCACTGAGCCGAGCCGCTTCGCTTGGGGCGTGGGACCGACGAGGTCTGATCTTGAGTACTACTTCGGCTCCGTGGCAGCTCGTGGGGACAGAGGTGACTGGATGGGGTGACTGGATGGGGGTGACCGGGGGAGATGATCGGCCGGCTTTTTTTTTGTTTGGTGGTTTCTAGATCTCAAGACGGTCGAACAGTTGGATACAGTTGGTGGTTCATGGTTTTTGATGGGTTGGGATGTCCTTTGCGAGTGCGACATTCTGTAACATGGAAGGCCCATGGGATCAGGGCTCTCTGCTGAGGCTCCGAATTCCTTGAGCAGCCCGAGCTACTTTGGAGCCGAGCAGTTCCGCAAGAACCTCGCCTTGACGCTCGAGGACGAGTGCCTGGATGACGATGCTCGGATGAACGCTCTGTCGGATGTGTTAAGGGGCTCACTGAACATCAGGGAGCAAAAGTCAGGGGACTTTTGCAGTGCACAGGCGGAGGGCAGTTGGAGCTATTTTTTTGTGCATTTGGGTGATTTTCTCAGGAGCTTGTGGTCTAAGCACCTCAAAGAAAAAAAGGTCTGAAGTAAGGGGTTTCGTCCAGTTTTGCGCCTGTAGGCTCATTTGCGACGGTGTATAGTGATGTAGAGTGTATATAAGACAAACCTGAGTGGCAGGATGCTACACACTTCACTATCCCAGCATCCATGTGCGGGCGATGGGTCCCCAAATGGGCAAAACCAGGCACCTGTAAGTATAGATACTGACCTTTTGAGGTTTTGTTTGCCATTGACCTACTACTGACTTGTCATGGGTCATCACGTGTCCACGGCCGGCCTCGGCCTGTCGCCCCTATCCAAGGATGAGAACGACTGCAACTTTGCAGGGGTCGCTTTTTTGAGAATTTGAGATTTGAGTGTGGGGGAGTGGCGGGAAACAATGTGTACACTGTACACGATCGATACCCTTTCGTTCCCATCCCTGATCTCCTCCCATCTGTGAACACGTGATGTTTCTATGCCAAGAAGCTGACCTGTGACATCTCCCCTCTGTCAAAAAGCTCCGCAGCTCTGGAGCTCAGCTCGAGCTCAGGAAATCGGGGAAGCCACCGCACCGGAGTCATTTCAGATGTTTTATCCGCCTGTGGTGGCGCCGCCATTGGGGCGAGGCTGGGCCCGAAGGTGCCATACCGCTGGCAGACAGATCAGCTGGCACCAATGAGGGGGGCTCGAAAAGCCTGTCGCTTTGGAATTCCGGGGCCCGATGTTTCAGTCTGTTTCAGTCCGGCCTTTTTCTCTCCTTTGCACCAGCCCAAGAAGCCCTCTCCGTCCTTTTTTGTGGCCGAATCCACCGCTGTGTCGAGCCACTTCAGCTGTTTTCGACACCGCGGTCCACGGAGGCGAAGAATATGATGCCTGGCTGGCTCAGCTGCCTTCGATCGGCTCGGCGAACCACTTCTTCGGGACCTGCGACCGGTGTTGCTTTCACCCCAAGGGTCGCTGCCACAACGGCTACAATTGCCAGCACTGCGCCTTGGATGAGGTATATAGATGGGGTCTGTCCAATTACCTGTAACAGTCAGTAAACAATTATTATAATTCTTGAACAAGGCCTTTACTAACCATTATCATCCACTGTTACAGGTACTGTAATAGGATAGGCCCAAGGTATATAGACTGAATTCATGGTACTTCTAGATTTGTTCTTGAACACAAGAGAAGAAGGCCAGAGATGAGACGGAGTATTGCGGTATTGTTGTTCTTGGGACCTTAGAAGGGTGATGGTGTCAGAAGATGTTACTACTATAGTGCATAGATCTCTCAATGATAGATTCTCTAAAGGTTGGCCCACAATTCGCAAGGGAGGGGCATTCTTGTCAAACGACATTTCGCGCATAAACGACGCGTCGTGGGTGCTTGCTTTTTCACAGGTCACTATGACCACGAGAAGCGAAAGCGCAAGAGCAAGAAGAAGAGCACCGAGCGAGAGGATTTGGCACATTCGATCCCCGCCACGCCGCCAGCGCTGGGGCTCATGGGGCCCCTGGAGCATTGCTACCCAATCCCTGCGCCCTTCCCCGAGCCCGGAGCCCCAGTCCCACCAGTGCCCCCAGGACTTCCGGGACTCCAAGCTTACCCGCCGTGGTATCCTGAGCCAGTCCCCCCTGACTTCATCCCTCCAGAGTCACATCATGCCCCCGCATGGGAAGACTATGTGCTTCGTTTGGAGGAGGAGAATCGCTACCTCCGTGGGATGTTGATGCAATATGGCGCCTCCTTACCCCCCTCCGTGATTCCCAGCCATCGTGGACCACAGCCGATGCCAGCCATCGCCAGCCCCGTTGACCCAGTGAGCCTGAACCCGATGAACCCCATGCTGTCACCCAGCGCCGTTCCTTTTTGTCCTGGATGGTCTACAGATGCCACCCGTGAACCCGTAGGCGGGGCCGGACCGCGGACGCCCTGTCCCGTATACCTCCGTATACCTCCAGGCACACACCGTGTAGACAGTGAAAAACAGGCCTCGTTTGGGTGTAATGCAATGAGCTTAGACATGCGAAACCTGACGGACACAACATCATACAATGATGAAAAGATGTGAAATTCTTCCTGCAGGTCGCAGGTCTATGACTAGCTGGGTAAATTACACTCATGTCAATGTCTATCAGCTGACACGAGCTGCTATCCACTGCTATCTTTCTATGATGATGAGAGAGGGAGAGAAGGCTTCAACTCTTGGATCTCCAGACGCCGGACGTGCATTCGGCCGAAGGAAGCGCCCTGCCGGAGATGTGAGGGAGATCTCCGTGAGAGAAACAGAATGGAAAAGCCTGGAGTTCTGTGGTCAATCAATCGCTTGTTCTGAGGAACAACCTGGATTTCCTCTTGTCAAGCCCACAACCTGATCAGACAATTTTTTGGGTTTGTGGTGATTATATAGCAGGCAGAAAAAAGGTCCTAACGCCTAACGCGTTTTATAAAGTGCGTTTTCAACACGCTTTGGCCATATGCAGAACCCGCCAGGCATTTCCGCACACGGGGCAAACAACATGGCGATTTCGTCGGGAGGATGTCATGATTTGAACAAGGACACCGGAAATTTAAGGGGACTATAGGCAACAACCAAATGGCTCTCGAAACATAACTCATGACTCATGCGCGTGCAACTCCACAAAGAGAGGACTCTGATTCGTTGGAATCGCAGGGGATGCAGGGGTGTCGCCTCCCCTCTGCCCCAAAGGTGTGAAGACATGTAAAGACATGATCTTGGAGACATGATCATGAATTATGAGCAACCTCTGCACATGCCAAACATTTGGGGATGGGGATTCCTTTGCCATTTCCAAAAAACTTGGCACCACAGTAGGAATCTTTAAAGATGATTTTGGTTGAATTTTGATCGCAGGACCATGTTATCACAACAAGTCACATGGGCTTAGCCCTTGCACGGCCGAAGGGAGCAAGCCGGGGAGGAGGGGCTTGGCGCTAGCGCACGTAGCCCCTGAACGATGGCGACGTTTCAACTGGCAGCGCCCGAATGGCTGTCCAAAAGGTGCCAGCCACGGACACGCCCCGAACACCCGGCGGACGCATCAGCAGCCTGCCGGGTTCACAGAGGTGGGGCCAGAAATGAAACTTTTTGGACGGGGGTGCCATGGGCCACGTGATCGTGAAGCACGGATTGCACGGATGTGTCATGTACATGAGACACGCTCGGCCCACGGGTTTGGTAAGATGGGTCTTCCATTCGCAGGATTTCTGATTGCTCTCGGCAGCCCAATGCTGCGTGGCACCAGTGCCACGGAAAAGCTTTTCAGACTCAATGCTTGAATCAAGCGTTAGTTTAGACGGCCTGTGAGCGCATAAGCTGGCCATAGGCACTTCACGCCACGGAGAGAAAAACCGGACCCGACTGCTGCGGGTTCCAGAGGTCTGGAACGGGGCATCGGTCGCTCTCAGACGAAGGCTCTGTGGAGCGAATGTGGAGTCCGATTCCCGCGGTCTGTGCGGTCTGTGCCGACGGTGTCACGAAAGAAGCCTTCGGGAGGGGTTCTGGTGCCCCTCCAAAACAGCCACCTCAGAAAGCTCAGTTGTTGGCCAACATTTGTTCTCCACAACTCCGTGACTGGTGGGTGACTGGTGTCAACCCGTGCTCGACTGCTCCGAGGGCGGCCACCAAAGCGCTCCCACCACAGCCTGCGCCTCTGGGGTTTTGGGGGCGCCCAGCGGGCCTGGTATATGAAGGGACGCGGGATTGAAGATGGATTGAAGTGTCCAAACTTCAATTGGTCTAGGTGCAGGTTTCATGTAGCCTAGGGGCTATCTTCCCGCCATTGCCGGCAGGATTCGGCGGAAAGAGGGTCTTCTACAAAGCCACAGGTTTCATCCGATTTGCTTTGCTCACCCCACTGATCTCCACTGGGTCAGAAAGTCGGAGCCAGGTGTCGATGTCCAGCGTTTCCGCCTCGTTCCGAACGCGCCCAGGACTGGTCGTCCCGAAGCACCACGAGGCTCTGAGCCAGCTCAGGCCGCGGAGGGGTCGGAGGCCGTGATGGCGCCAAACAAGGTGACAGGGGCAGATCTTGGGGGTTGCAAGTGTTAGTGAGTGAGAAGACTGAAGTGGTGGTTTGAAAAAACAAGTGCCCCTTCAAAAGCCCGTGTGAGACATAATTCATGTGTCTGTATATAGCTTTGACTTTGAAGGGCTGTTGTTGGGTGTGGCACAGGGTAATGCGATGTGAACACCGCACGAGTCAAGCATGAACACCCAACCGTTACTGTAGGTCAACGATGAATCAGTCTCACCTCGTTTCGATTCCATCAATTGTCAATAGTGAACTTTCGGGAAGCCACAGATCACCAAGATGCTCATTGCGACCGCACAGGGGGCCGCGCTAAATCTTCGGACCCAGTTGACCCAGTTGACGCCAACTGGGTCAGCCGGGTCAACTGGGTCCGGAGATTTAGCGTGGCCACCGGGTCAACTGGGTCCACCGCCGCCACCACCACGACGACGACGACGACTACTACTACTACCACCACCACTACTACTATATACTTCTACTACTGGGTCAACTGGGGTCAACTGGGTCAACTGGGGTCAACTGGGGTGAACTGGGTCAACTGGGGTCAACTGGGTCCAGAGATATAGCGCGGCCCGGGTCAACCGGCTCAACTAACCATCAGTTCGACTGGGTCAACTGGGTCTACCAACACTACTATCACCACTACCACTACTACTACTGCTTATGGGTCAACTTGGGTCCACTGGGTTCAAGGTCTGGCAACGACTACTATACTGAGCATGCTCGACCAAAAATGAATCCCTACTAGTGCTAGGTGTTAAATAAGGCAGTCTGAACAGTAAAAAATTAAGCTCAACACCAGGGTTCCCGTGTTGAGCTTGGACAAAACCTTTTTTTTTTTATCAAGTTCATCGGTTTTGTATTTCCATTGGGCACCCCACGAGAAACAGGCGTAGCCACTGCATGGACAGACGGCCGTCAAAGAATGGCCAACGAATGGCATGCGTGGAGCTAAATTTTCTGGACCTTTCAGACCGGGGAAGGTTCAATCACCAATTATCCCCTTTCGTGCGAACTGCTGCGGATTTGGAATTGTGTTTCTTCTGTAAAAATCTTTTCCAGGTCAGAGTCAGAGTCAGAGTTCGGCTTCTGTGAGGATCCCGTGGTCGACTTGTGGATCTTTCCCAGGTCCAAGCCAGGGATCAGGTGCTGCGTGTTCGATTCGATCGTCAGGCTATCCACTAAACCACAGACTAAGTCAACTCATCCATAGAATCCTGGAACCTGAGTAAGTGACCTGTACTTTAGATCAACACCAACCATCCTCATCTGTGGCAACATGGAGCTATAAAGACATGTGGCATGATCTAATCAATAGAAACCAACATCAACATCAGACATTCCGTGTAGAGCTTGATTCGGAACCTTACTTGTTCAAGTTCAACAACGGTCTTCATCACAACCTCGGTTGATCCAGTTTGATCCACTTCAGAAGCCAACAGTTGGGGACCGTTTCTTCCTGCGAGTCAAGAGATAGCTCCAGATCTATCGACGACCTGTGAGCAAGCGACTTGGCTATGTAAAGCTATTCAAAGAAAGCTAGAAACCAAGATCAACACCAGACATCTTGTGTTGAGCTTGGTTAGGACTCCTTCTTCCATCGAGTCGACCATGGCCGCATAAACAACATTGACACATAGAAATACATAGTCTAAGCATGGGAAACCAAGCTCAGAGCCAGGTGTCCCGTGCTGAGGTTGGTTGAAGACTTTTCCTGAGCCAGTTGAGACACTGCCTCCATCAGAACCTCAGTAGAAAACAATTGCGTAAACAACAATAATGAGTTATGAGAACATTATCTAACACAGAAGCCACACTCCACACCAGGAATCCCATGTTGAGGTTGATTGGTGATCTTTCTTGCTTCTTCCCCAGTAGTAGCAGTGGGCCCAGTTGACCCCGGTTGAGCCGGTTGACCCCAGTTGATCCAGATCACCCAGTTGACCCATTGGATCCAGTTGACCCAGTTGACCCCAGTTGACCCAATGGACCTACTTGACCCAGTTGGCACGTAGTAGTAGCAGTAGTAGTCGTGGTGGTCGAATTGACCAGGAGGGCATGCTAAATCTGCGGACCCAGTTGACCCGAATTGACCCAGTTGACGCGTAGTAGTAGCAGTGGTCGTGGTCGCAGTGGTCGACTTGACCAGGCGGCCACGCTAAATCTATGGACACAGTTGACCCAGTTGAGGTCAATTGGGTCAACTCGGTCAACCGGGTCAACTGGGTCAACTGGGACACCCTGTTCCATTGGGTCAACTTGGACCACAGATTTAGCGGCCCCCTGTGCCGACGCACTCAAGATGCTTATATAATTACGGTTGTTTTACCGTTACTGTGCCAGTTCCATCCAGTTCCTATTAGATTTGAGATGATTTGAGCATTCGGACTCGGACCCTGACGTGCGTTTATGAGGGAACGGGGCGTAGCTCGTTGTGCCTGCAGAATCATGACGCTGGACAAACTGTTCCACAAAAGAGTATTTTTTATTGTGTTCTTATGATACACGTGTATGCTCAGTGAGAAAACATGCGCTTGAGAAAAACGGGTGATGCAGAGGCTTTGTCAAAGTCCCCTTGCGGCAGATCGCATGGCTGGTGAGTGATAAGAGAAAAGGGCTGCCACGAGCGACCATGGGTGACCTGGTGGAAATGGGGCATTTGGAGGAACAGCTTGACGCGCACATTGTTTCACCCCCAGAAAGGCCAGATGCAGGTCGCACGTCGCACCGAGCACGCAGGTCGGAACAACTTCCACATGTTATGGTCCAGTTCGCGGCAAGGGCTCCTGGCCTTACTAGGAGCAAGAACGCTACGAACGGAGCCTTTCGGGCATCGATCGAGATTTCGTGCACTAGTTACTGGGAGCTGCCAGACGTGCGACCGCCTCTACGCCGGCCGCCGATCGCCAGGCGCCGAAGCGGCCGCCGGTCTCGGCGGAGCATGCCGAATGGGAGGACGGTCCGGGGCGAGAAGCGCGGCGAACACTGCGGCGAAGCTGGGGCCCAGGGGTATTGCAGGGTGCAGTTTTTTGGAAGATTGATGAATCAAGTTCGAAGCTGGGGTGGGTGAGGCTTTCAGATCACCATGGTGCAGGTTTTTTCCGTTCGGGGTAATTTAGCTGTCGAATTGAACGATGAATGTATAGAAAGGCCAAGCGTCAAAAAAATACTGCAAAGCTCGGCAAGTCACAGACTCCGGGGAGCATGTGTTGGTGTGCGGTTTTCAATGCTGTTTTCCCAGAGTATTATTCGGGGTTTGCATTCTTCTTTCGGCCCTTGGGGGCATGTTCTGGTTCATGAGTGCAGGGATTTTTCAACCCACCAATTTCCGGTGTGAATCCACTCAGAAATACGACCCCCACAGAAGCCACGAATGAGAACCACACAAGACATGGCAATGGTTCATGGCGCCGGAGACCGCTGCAGGACCACGAAAATCATCGACGGCCACGCATGGTCAACCTAACTTCATGAGGGTGAGTTCCGCGCGATCGCCGCTTCGACCGCCCCATCGCCCACGCTTCTGGTGGAATCGGGCCGCCCGACGGGGGCCGATGGGCGAGGACTTGGCGGCGTTCCTCGCAGTGGAGGTCCTCACGGTCGGAAGGCCTAGTGACTGCAGCGACGGCTGGCTTTGATCCAAGGCCTGCGGGTGGGCAGTTGCCCAAAGCGTATGGATGTGATTGGAGACGATATACCTGGAGCCCCAATTGACCCCTGTTTTGATAGGAAAAGGATGGAAAAGGCCATATTTTGGGTGGTTGGTGGTCCAGAATAGAGGTCATTCAGGTTCTAGGTATGGACATGTGTAGACGTATACCTTATGCCAGTGGCAAGGCCGCCCTGTGTATGGTGTATGGTGTCTGCGGCATAAGCTTGCACGTACGGAGCTCACAGACATTGCGGAGCCGGAGCCCACGGCGATTCGGAAAAGACTCCAGAGACTGGTGCCCCTGGAGTCTTTCCCCCATCCCTACGCATGGAGTTACCATCGGCAAAGGATGTTTTAATATCCAGAACAAATAGACTCGATATCCTTTTTTGGGACGATAAACTAGCAGCTTGGGTTGGACATGTGTAGGGTTCCTACCCAGAGAAGAGGTCGGTGGCGTAAAAGAGTACCATGAGTCAACTATTTTGTGGTTGTAAGGTCGGCTTGAATTCCCCGTAGCAATCATCCCTGAGGCCTAGACATGCCACAACTTTGTGAATGAATGACAACACTCACACTGGAAGGCTTGCTAACATTGAGTTTTGGGGAGGGTCCAGGTTGCTCGAAGGCTTTGATTCTGAATATGTATCCATCTACGGTATAGCGAAGCAGCAGGAATCTGAAGCTTGGGGAGGCCATGTTCTGACAGTAGCACTATGGCAAATTGCAGCCTTCCCCAGGTTTTGCAGGCAGAAGTTAAAGGCCCAACATGTGTTTTCATTCTTATTTTCTCCCTGGCCTTCCAACTTTGGTCTTTGCCTGACATCTTGCAGATGCAGCACATTCTCGAAGCTTGCCCAGCGTCGTCAAACGCCCCAAAAGTCGCCCAGCGCCCCAGGTTCAAGCTTCAGGGCAGAAGAAGCGAGGGTGCCTGGGGTAGAGGCAGTGAAATCGCAGTTTATCCACTACAGACGTGAATCTTCAGCTCCATTGCCTTAGAGTGATGAGGGTACACGGTCGATCCCGGCGCACTGGTCGCCCCAGAGGATTGGTGTGTCCATGATCAAACTTGGCTGTTAGCCTTTAATAGGCACCCTCCTTGACCTTCCCACACTCATCCATGCTCATTCATACGGACCATCAAACCATTATAGTGTGTAAACTGGCCTCGCATGCAGAGATTCATGTTGAGGGTCCATTTCCAGATGGCCTCAGCCCAAGATCGATTGACACATTGGACTTCTTGGGTTTGTGGCATCATGTGCCATCTAACCTTGGTAAGACGATTTCATAGTCTGCCTCCTGAACTGGACTGTTTTGCAGTCCAGTCTCCCTTGGGGCTGCTTCCAAGCGGTGTTCGGCACCCAAAAGTACTTGGCCAGATCGATAGTGAAGACTGGATGAGCATCCATGCTTTAGTCCGCAGGTGATGAAACCCCTAAAGCTGTAGGCTCGGTAGGGTAATTTCCGGTAAGACGATTCGTGTCGGTTTCTTTTGCTGGAGATGTCGCCGGTTTCCCTGTACCCCGCGACCAGCAACGTTTTTTCATGTCATGGGTCCGACCGACGACCCGGGTCGACCACCGGAGAGCCCGACGACCCGCAGCCACGGATCGCCCCTGAGAGCGCGACGGTTCGCGGTTCGGCGGCCGCCCATGGCGGCCTCTGTGGCGACTGGGACGGGATTGGGCGGGGGGCGGGGGGGGAAGGGGGAAAAGGAATTGTTGCGAAGTGGGTGGAAGCAGTGAGACAAAAACCCTCACATGAGGGCTTGGTGAGGGGTCCATATATATGGAAGGACCCTGAAGCACATGGAGCATGGTTGGGATGACGAAGAGAGCTCGAGGACACCGGTGTGGCCCACTGCCCCATGCTTCGAATCCGAGGACGACTGGCTCGAGGCCTATGTCACACAGTATGAGCACTTCCCGCAGACACCGGCGCCTCGGCGGATTCGGATGCGCGCCGTTCGCCCATCCTGAGGTATCCATCCTAACCAGGGAAGAGCATTGAACTGGAACCAGAAGGGGTGTTAAGAATGGTCTGAGGGCTTTCTCTACACTGGGTTGGTAATGTTGGTCTGGTCTTGGCAAGACGAGTCTCAGGGGTTCCACTACGACGATCACTTCGACCGGGTCTAGGGTCTACCGTAGATCAAGCAGCGCGACTCGCTGGCGAGGGTGGCCTCACAAGCACATCACCTGACATCGATAGGTTTTGCGGTTCGTTATTCACTGGGGACTTCGAAACGTTGGCGCAACTTGATTCTTGCTGCCGTGTCCACTGGGCGAAACCCATCCCTGAAACACTGGGCGTCTTCTTCATGCCCTCATCTTCACCCTTTTTCAGGAGCAGCTTTGTGCTTACGCCAAGAACCACGGGCATCACTTGCGCTACGCCGCGGCGCGGCGTGCCTGGGCCTCCCGCAGAGCGGGGGCGACCGGGGTCGGAGCGGCGCGGCCCAGCGGTGCCGCGGCGGGTGCCGCGGCGAGGCCGACCAGCGGCCCATCGCGCATCCTCCAGGCGCGGGGCACTGGGATAGGATGTATTACACCCGGGAAAATTAACATGGAACCTGACAACCACTGGGTTGTAGAGGAAAATAGTATTCCAAAGGTCCATTTTCAGGTTCCATGTTACTTTTCCCGGGTGTATATGGCATTACCCCCCTTAGCCTGGCCTGAGACCATTAAAAGCATGGTTGACCTGGTTTTGTGGCGCGAAATTGTTGGTTGTTCGGTAAGAACTGTTATAAAGGATAATTAAGGGTGATTGGAATCCTAGGGATTATGTCGGTGAGTTGTGTCAGCCTTTGGGACTTGGAGAACGCTGGGAGCTTGTCCCCCCCCACAGTGAAGCAGAAGGAATTCTCTATGCTGCAGCTGCGCCGTGAAGAAAAGTGGGGGTCTTTATAAACCTTAAACCTTTTCCTGCTACGCTCAGATATGTTTTCAAAACCAATGAGATTGCACGCAGAGATGCGTAGAGGACATTAAGGTCACCTGCTTACCTGACGGTGCTAGCGGTAGTTCTTTTTCCGTGCTCAGCCAGAACTGTGACTTGGCACTTCATGCCACTGCATTGCAGGTATCATTGCACTATTATGGATCCGTTTAGTATTGAATCATTCGGAATATGTCGGAATGATCAGAGAGAGAGAGAGAGATATCATGTTTTGCAAAACGTGGGTGCCCATTCAGTACGAAGGGCACCTCTGTTACCACGAATTGCGGTCATGGCCGAGCCAATCTCATGGACTAATGAACGCTTGGATTCCGCAGCCGAACGCGTAGCAGCTGGCAGATGTGTTGTATCCGTGGAATGGCCATTGGTTTCACCCCTCAGGACTGTCGGACCCCGTCTGTTGGAAGGGGGAAATCCGACCGACAGTTTTGGATGAGGGTCTTGGTGATACACACCGGTCGCCGCCCGGTCGCTGCCCGGTAGGTCGACGAACAGAGGGCCGAACAGAGGGCTGCACCGTCGCGGACCGAGCGCCCCTGGCTGGATGCGTATGTGGAGCACTACGGGCACGCCCCGTCCAACGCGCAACATTTGGTGGCCTTTGTTCACCACCGGGGCGGGGAGACGAGGCTGAGAAAGAGAGGGGGATGGAAGGTCTAGGACCTGGATGGGGGATCATCGGACACGTTCTAGAGGCATCCAAAGGCAGGTTTCTCTAGGGCTCTCTTATTTTAAAGGACTTTGTAGATATATAGGATTCGTTACGGTTCTTTGGTTGAAGTGTTCATATCGAAAATAGACTAGATGAAAATAGTGGGTACAACAATTTGGTTGCAACTGAACTCTAGAGATTGATAGACGTGACAAAACCATAAGACTTCGAGATTCATCGGCTCCCGGCCGCACCGTGTTCTGAGGAGATGTCCTACACCAGCGCGTTGCAGGCGATGGGCCTATCGCTGCCCAGAAACCCCACGCCCTGGCAGGATACCTTGGCGATCAATCGGCACTATCGGCGGCTCACCAGGAGCTGGGGCCGATCGTCGGACGAACGACCGCGCTTGCGAGGAAGACATCTAAGGGGCCGGTACAGGGCAGAGATATACTCCTCTCCTACCATTCCGGTCTTTGATAGTTATGGAGTTTGGGAGTGCCAGCCAGCTAGTGATTTGTTGTTGGAAATTCGAGGATGGGAATCTTGTGAGAGAGGGAACTCGTTGCGGGAGGAGTCTCCCAACCTGTGTGTACATGCGGGGCTTATCTCGATCATTAAAGGGAAATCCGGAATCCATAGTGAGATGCAAGTCAATAACAGAGTGGCCAAGAAGAACCCATCGTTCGATTACTGGTGCCACTTCCTGGCGGGGCCGTTCATCCGTTATGGAACCCCTGCGCCCGCGACGCGTTTTACGCGTCCGCGACGGGGGCGGTGCCGTCTGCCACGTCCGCTGCGCCGCCATGGTCCGCTCGGCGAGGATGATTTTCACGACCTTGGTCCTCGAGGAGGATCCTCCAGGGGTCAACCACTTGCGGGGACAACTGGGAGGATCCGCCAGTGGTTTGGCCGCCGGTTTGCCGATGCAAGTGACCATGGATTTGACCAAACGGTTGATGGAGCTTGCCACCCCCATTGAGGCATCAGAGAGCTTTTTGTGTACCATTTGTTTGAATGGGAAGACGGAAGAGGATGCCCAAGTTGCTTGGGTCCAATTGGCCTGTGGCCACCCCTTGCATCGCAGCTGCTATCGTCAGCTCATTCATCACAACTTGTTTCGTTGCCGTTGCCCGCTGTGCAGATTTGACTTCTTGCAACTTTTATTGCAGGAAACCTAGGTGTGAATTCAAAGCCCTGTGACAAAGCAGGGCGGCTCTCAATGAACGGGAACAACCCTTTGGAACCAAAGAACGCCAGCGATTCAGAGAAGCTCTATTCTATTTGGGGAAAGCAGGAAAGCACATCTTAGTCATGTCGATCTATCGTACATTGGCTTTCAGATGCAAAGCTTACCTTTGCCACCTTTTGTTCCCAAGGGGAAGCATCTTAAGGAGCGCTTGAGAAATCAAGACAGCATAAAGGTCAAGAAGGCAATGCCCCTCTGGCTTGCAATTGCGAGCCAAGAAAGGGCCAAAGGATCTCATCGATCGGACGTGATCGCTTCAACCAAAAGGTGCGCACATGGTGAGAACGGCGTGGTTGAAGTTGAGTGATAGGATGATTAGGATGATGTAAAAAATAATATTGATGTTGACAATAAAGATGTGATGATTTAGCTACTCAGATCAGAGGGTTCATCCAGTTGGGCCTAATTAGGTGGGCTTCACACTAATTATGGGCTTCCTGCTCCTATGCCCCCAAGCCCTTTGGTAGATGCCCAGAGCAAGGCAGTGCTGTCTACATGGTTCAAGCATGGTGCTGACATGGTGCCACCAAGAACAACAATTGGTAGAGTCTGGTAGAGAAAGCAAGTCAGCAACGCTGGTTGCCGCAGCTTTTTTTTTTAGTCCTGCCTATCATTGTGTCCATTCATTTGTTTGCATATCCTTACGGAGACCCCAATGGAATAACTGGCACTGTCTCCATAGCTTCCAGGCTCGCAAGAAGACATTTGGTTGTGACTTTTGATCCTGCAGTTGACGCAGTGTTGAAGAACTCCTGCATGTCACACACAAATACACACACACACATATATATATATATGCATATATATACACATAATATATATATATATACATGCACACATACACATAGATCTAGAGAAGCAAGAGGATTTGAGCATGTGGCGGCTGCATGGGCCTCTTCATGTCACCACAGTTATGCATGTCTTTCAGCAGTATTTGAGGCAAGACTGCATGTAAATCATAAGGAACATCTAAAGGCGACTTACTTGGTGGACTTAATTATATAGTGACCAACTATACTCCGGTAGCTCATTTGAGAAATCAATGCCTATTTAGAATCACATTGTAGCCAATACTTCCGGAAACCAGCAAACGGAATACATGCACAACCAAAATATTCAGAAATAAGCTTGCTACCGTAGTATAAGTGGACCATCATTTTGCTGTAAGTGGACCTCCTTTGAACACCTTTGAGCCTGGTCTCTTTCGGGCCGAGGCAGGAGGCCGTTGGCCAGCAGCTGGTGGCGGTGTGCTGCAGCCTTGGATGTTGAACGCCCTGACTGTTAACCCCGATCACCATCCACTGGGGTCGTGTTTGTCGTCTAATGAGGTCCCGATCAGGGCCATCTCGTTTGGGGGTCGTAGGCAGTGGGGTTGTCCTGCTTCTTGAACAGACTCTCCCTCTTCATGCTGCCATAGCCTTTTGGGCCTTCGAATGAGGCTCTGGAATTGCCGGTCCTGGAGAATGCTAAACCAGAATGATGATCAAAGTTGTAGGAGTATAGTTGGTCACCACAGAATTGCACTTGCATTATAATAAGCTACCTGCAGTTCTGGTAGTTGGTCATATAACCATCTCACTTGTATGACAAAATGGAGACTGTCATCAACGTACAGCCATCAACCCGCTCAAAGAGGTCACGTTCCCGTCTTACGTAGCGGAGAACGGGTCTCCCCCGACCAAGTGCTTAGATTTTCGGGTCTCCTCGGCTGGGTGTGGGGTTCATTTGCTTGATCTCATCGAGGGTTTTTCCAGGCTTCTTTGCCATTGGCGACCGATTCTCACCTCAATGATTTTCCAATGGAGCACCCAGCAGAAGTGCTTCCTCCTGACCAGGTCTGTTTGTTCATTGCGGCCGGCAGACCCAACATGTTACCGATCTGCGGATTTTCCTCATGTGTCAGTGTGTGAGTACGTCGAAGAACTGCAGGCGACGGAACTGGGCCGCACATCGACGGATCTGGCTCCAGAAGAGAACATAGGTCAATGAACCGTGCAATGCCACGTGCTTTTTCCCGCTCGCACCACGTTGGTGTTTAGCGGAAGGCTCAGATTGCGCGGTGCATTCATGGGCCATTGCCATTGGCCTTGTCGGCACGTGTGTGGTCGTTTAGGATGTGCAAAGGAGGTCCTGGAATCGAAGACCTGCTATACATCAACAGCTCTCGCTATGCCCTTTGTTACCAGTAGCTCCTTGTTCCTAGTAGTAATGCTAGGAGCTAACATGTTGCACAGAATTCGCACGGGTTCACTACAATCTCTTTGGAGACCGACGGCCGAGGTGGATCGCATGCAGGACCTCGCAGCGGCCCAGCAACAGGTGCCGCCTTGATGAGCCCGAAACGGGAGAAAACCATGGGCTGTAGCGAAAGGATGAGCCGAAGAGGTGGTATGAATAATGTATGAATGGGTGAAGCGTTTGAGAAACAAAGGATCCACCATAAGGTAGACTATGGATAAACATCCCCAATGGGATTGTAAAAGCTCTTCTTACCCGTCGCGTTTCGGAAGGACCCCCCTCGGTCAGAAGCGGTGCTGTTAGCATTCCACTAAGCAGCAATCGAACATTTCCACTATACAGAAAAGAAAGAAGCGAAGTCAGGTGGAAAGTCGGTTACGCCCTGGAAGACTAACAAGGAACCTGAAAACCCCTGGTTGGTAGATGGTAAAGGAATATAGTCTTCCATGGGACCATTGTCAGGGTCTATGTTAGTTTTCGGGAGTGTAAAGCAAATTCCCAAGCATGTAGTCCCGCTTTGAAGACACGCCGAGAAACTTCCCAAGCATGGTCGGATCGCCAGAGCTGAACGCCTGTGATGGCCCCTGCAGGCATTGTCTTACCCCATGCGTGATTGAGGTGCACATCATACTCACCAGGGTTAACCGCAAAATCAAGGGCCTTCCGAGCAGCTCTTCATATGGGGAGGGTTGTTATATAATCAAGAGAAGCTTGGCGAAGTGGCTTGGTGCCAGGGAGCTGCTGACGCACGCCACTCCGATGGTGCTTCCAGCTGCTTGGAGAGGTCGACGGCGTGGGACATGCAAATGCCCACGGGTGTGAGGAATAGAAGAGGGGGTTCAAAAAACGTAAACACCAAGTTAATAGGCGGTATGGTCATATCGACTGCCTTGGATGAATCCCCATTTGTTTGTGAAAGATGTGTTTTTCTCTCCGAGAAAGCTAATGATAGATCTTTCTGTGCGGTATGCATCCGATGGACCAGGGGCAAAAAACCGCCTGCACGTGCTTGCTGAAGGCGGACGGTGCTTGCGGAGTTGGCCGCAAGATGGGAATGCCATGCGGGTGGGCAGACCGCAGATCTCTTTACTGGAGACCGTCCCCCTCCCCAGTGGCAACACTCTCGTGTTCCCAACCAAGGCTCACTGAAGGGAGATGGCAGTTGCACAAGCACCTGCACCACCAGAGCAGATGCAGAGTGTCTTGGCAGAGTGTCCGAGGCGAAGTACATGCGAGATCTTCCCAGCCAGCTGGGCCGAACAGACCAGCTCCCAAACTCCTACCCAGACACCCAGACTCGTGCTTTTCGGGCCTCGAAGGGGGTGAAGGACATCTACAATGCATCTTTTGGGTACATCATGGCGTATGATCATACGATTCGGTTCTCTACGGTAGCTACTCATGTCGATCTTCCTAGATTCGGATGATTGAGCTTCGCCACGTGTACTGTGCTGCCATAAGCAGCCCAGATGCAGCTCCTCTCCTTTGAGCCTCCAGGCCCCTCAGCCACCCCGAACTGATGGCAGGCATCTTCGACTCCCGCCGAGGCAACGCTCGTCCGAGGTTCCCGTTGTCGCATCCCAAATCGGCGCACCGGGATCACGCATCACGCAGCTCCGAAGGTACACCATTGATATTGAGAAGGAGGTCGATAAGCTGATCGAGGATCCTTCGTCACCTGGCGAAGAAACATTCGCAGCATGAAGAGATGGGTTCCGGAAGCACTTGGAGGAGTGAGGCATTTTGGACAGTGTGTGGGTGAGGTGGTGTAAATGACACACACACATAATATACATATATATATATGAATATTAGTATGGTATAGATACAGTAAATAATACTGCGCCTATTTTAGGGCTGTCACGCTAGAGCTCTTAGCTTACCCATATTTGAGTCTCTACGTGGGTGCCGGAGAACCTTCCCCTCCATCTCCAGTCGCCTTTACCAGGAGGGGGCACAAATAGGATCCAGAGGCCCTTCGATTCAGCCTCTTGCTGTGGTCTGCCCGGTCCGTAAGGCCAGGTCCAGCGGGTTCCGGGTTCGGAGGGCCGAAAGAATGCCCAGGCGGCCCAGGCGCTTCAAATGCACCAGAGGCAAGGAGAAGAAGAAAGACAGCAACCAGCGACACGGCAGAAATGGTTTGGTCCGTTACGAGGTTTGAACATGATGTAATGCGTCCTGCTTACACTCATTCCCCAACAGTTGCCACGAGTAGTGTGTGTGTGTGTGTGTTTTTTTTTTTTTTTTTAAATAAGGCATTTGTTAAGTGTCTTCCAGTTGTGGGAGCGTCGAATGACAAATAGTGATGTCAGTTGTGTGATATAAACAGACATTACATGTCATATGATATATACAGTATATATATATATTTCTACACTCTATATGTGTTTGATATATCGTTATATGATGTTATATTATATGTGATGCTATGCTTGGGTTCAAGACCCTAACCGCGCTGCTGACGTAGTCTCAATTGACGACTTGCGAAACTCGAGCCTAGCAGTCGATTCCTTGGCTGATTTGGACGGAGAGCTTGGGGATGTCCCATTACCAACAATTGTGACGATTTTAGATATATCGTTTTTCGGTCGCACAGGCCTATCATCATCCCACTGGGGCCAGGACGAACAGAGGTCGTCTCAACGGACGCCTGGCAGCTCCGTGTCGTTCCCAGGCTGGGCTTTCTACCTTGTCGCCCTGAAGGAGACTCCGTGTCCTCAGGCGCGGGGAAAACCTGAGCGTGCTGAGTGTCGTAGCTGAGGCAGAGCTGAGCTA